GGGGGGGGGGGAGGTTCGGCTGCTCCGCCGCGTGCGCTGTTCTTTCTACCCTCTCCGCAGCAACGAAATACAAGAAACATATTCGTTTATTTCTTTATACTAGCGGCAGAATATTAGTGACCGCTTTCACTGACGCGTTTTGTTTCAGTTGGTGTTCACTTCGTCTTCCGCGTCAGTTCCACGTGGCATTGACACCATTTATTTTTTCTCCTCCTTTTATTCTTGCTGCGGTCACTCCCCTTAACCTTTGCCGCTTTTGCTTTGTTCCCCTTTTTCTCCCCCTTTGGCTGAGGCAGCTGTGCTTCGGGCACGGACGGAAGAAAAGAGGAGAGCGAGGGACGGTGGATTGAGCCGACTTTCGTGGCTGCGCTGTTTCCGTGCGTGTGTGTGTGTGTCTGGACCGCTGCTGCGTATGCACGGGGCACGCCCGAACATATACGTGGACGTGGAGCTGCGGGGCGGAGAGTTGCCTCCTGGCGTCGCGGCCATAGCGGCAGCGGTGCTCGTGGTCCTCATTCTCCTTGTGGTTCTCGTGTTTTTTGTATGCCGCTCGCTCCTGAAGGCACAGTACAGTCAACCGGAGCGTGTTCTGGCCGAACCAACCAACACAGGGAGGTTTCCCCCCTCTCCTCCTGCCTACGGAAATGCAAACTTGTGGAGAGAAACTTTTCTCGGGATCGTTTGCGACAACGAAAAGTATGTTCACAATTCGGAAGCTCTGCATGCCGTTTACGCCGTCCCGTTGGACCTGCGGCTCTGCGACGCGCTTGTCAACGAGGAGCTCCTCAAGGACAGGGATCGTCTCTCTAGAGCGTGGGAGCGACGCCGCGCGCTGAATGATGTGTTCGGTGCTAGCGTTCACGACGTGAGCGGGGGTGCGAGCGTGGCGCCGTCACCGTCCAGTCGGAGCGGTCAGGACCCCTGTGACCCAGGCGGGCGGGCTGCGGATGCCGCTTTCCAAGACAAAATTTGATGGATTCCCTTCTCCTCCTCGCCCGTCGTCGTCGTCGTCGTCGAACTTCTCCACGGACGCACTGACGACAGGCGGGTAAAACGCTAGTGGAAGTTGCTGTGGGAAGTTGAGCCAAAACAGAGGCAGTAGTTTTTTTTTGTTCGTGCGTGTGTGTGTTGGGCGGAGCTGAGGATTCGCGTGAATTAACTAAATGACGGATGGGGTGCTAACATTGTCTTTTCTCCTCCTCGTACTTGCCTGTAGGCTTGGGGGCTTGCCCTTGTGCGCCGGGTGTCTCCTCCCCTCCTTCTCAGTTCCTCAGTCCCTCTCTGGGAGTGTCGGGGACGCCCTACTCTTGGGCTTCGCGACTGTCGTTTCTCGCTGCAGTGCGACTGCGGTGGGTTTGGGGCTTAAGAGGGTCTCATGCATCTGAGAGAATTTCATGATGCCTGCAAAACAAAAAAAAACGACCCACACCCACACACGGTGGTTGCATTTTTTTGCTATTGTTTTTTCATTCCTCCCTTTCCGCTTTTTCACTTTTGCATCCTCAGCTGCAATGAAGACGCTCCTCTCACTCTGTCTGTCTTTCTATCCCTTTCCTTCCTTTTTTTTTTGGCTGCGGCTAGCGAGGTCGCTTCAACGTGCCTGTTGCTTCCGGAAGGTGGTGAGGCAGTGCCCTTCTCTCCGCGTCTGGGCCACTCACTGTGTTTCTCTCTCCGCGCACGCCATGTCTCTCGAGCCGACGTTGCGGGGGCTGTTGCAGAGCAAACTCCAATGGATCTTTGTGGGCGGCAAGGGCGGGGTCGGCAAAACGACCACCTCCTGCGCCCTGGCAACCCTCTTCGCCTCAACTCCAATTCACGACGAGGCGGCAAACACGAACCGCCCTCGACGGGTGCTGCTTATTTCCACGGACCCCGCACACAACCTTAGCGACGCCTTCAGCCAGAGGTTCGGCAATGCGCCGACACCCGTGAAGGGCATGGAGGAGACGCTCTTCGCGATGGAAGTGGACCCGAGGAACCTCACCCACAGGGGATTTGGCGCTATGCTGGGTAGTGCGGGTGACGCCTCCACAGGTGCGAGCGTGCCATCACCCTTTGCTGCGCTTGGCAGTATTCTTAAGGAGGCGGCGGGTACGCTTCCAGGGATTGATGAGCTCTCCGTGTTTGCGGAAATTCTGCGTGGTGTCCAGCAACTTTCGTATGACATTGTTATTTTTGATACCGCGCCGACGGGTCACACGCTGCGCCTTCTTGCCCTGCCGCACACCGTGAACGCCACGATCGATAAGCTGTTGTCGCTGGAAGGTCTGGACTCCTTGGTTCGTGCCGCGTCCACGTTCATTTCTTCTTCAACCAACTTTGGTGATGTGTCGTCGCTGATGCCTGCCGTTAACCAGTGGCGGGAGAGTGTGCAGGAGGTGCAGCGGCAGTTTACGGACGCTGAGAAGACGGCTTTTGTGTGCGTCTGCATCCCCGAATTTCTTAGCGTGTACGAGACGGAGCGGTTGGTGCAGGAGCTCATGAAGTACGACATAAGCTGTGATAGCATTGTGGTGAATCAGCTTGTTCTGAAGCCGTCGAGCGAGCCTGCCTGTCGTATGTGTATGGCTCGGCAGAAGATACAGTCAAAGTACCTGACGCAAATCGACTCTCTGTACGAGGACTTCCACGTGGTGAGGATGCCGCTGCTGAGCGATGAGGTGCGTGGAACCCCTGCGCTGCAGCGGTTTGCGCGGTTTCTGGTGGAGCCGTACGATGCCGACCGTCACGGGTACATCGACGTTTGCGGGGCCGCGCCGTAGGCGAGGGATGCGAAAATGGGTGTGGACGGCAGGAAGAAGAAAAAGAAGGGCAAAGGGCAAACGAACGAGCAGAAAAAAAAATCCCACAGGGGGCATAAAACGACGTTTAATGTATCCGAGTCTAGAATACGGGAAAGAAGGAAGGAAGGAAAAGGAAGAGCGACGCCGAATTGTCCATTTTTCTTGCCCGTAACTCATCGGCGGAGGTGCACCTCCTTCTTTTTCCTCTGGGTAAGGGCGCCGTGGAGAAGAAGATCCGGCGCGAAGACGAGAGAAGGCGCGCATTGGCCTCAGAAAGCGCAACTGTGCTGAAAGTATATTTGTTGTTGTTGTTGTTTCTTCCTTTTCTCGTTCTCTTTGTTTGCCGGTGTTGGGCTGCTCCTGCTCCTGTTAGGAGGTGTGGATTGCCGCTCTGCTTCCATGCAGGGTTATCATCGCTCCCCGCCGTTGGCGGCGGCGTCTCCCCCATGCACGACGATAGCCGCCGTCGGGAGTTCTGCCGTCGTGGCCTCGCCCGTTTCTCAGCCGTGCGAGGGGGCTGTAATCGGCGATGACTACGTGCGTATGCTTCTTCACACCATCCGCGAGCACGACGCGGAGAAGCTGGCGTTGGTGCGGCGCATTGAGGATTGCGTCAAGCCTGAGCGGGCCGAGACGCAGCGTCTGCGCCGCGAGTTGGCCAATAGGGATGAGGAAATCGGCAAACTGCAACAGGAGCTATCAGCGGCTCGCCTGATGCTCCAAGAGGAGCGGGAACGGGCGAACCGGCTCCTGCATGAGAGCACCGTACTACACGCAGAGGCAGAGGACGCTCGGGCGAGACTGGCGTCGCTGCTTCGCCTGCGTCAAGAGGCGAAGACGGCAGTGACGGCGGCCGTCGCGGAGGAGAACGCGAAAGCCGATGTCCGTCGCCAAGCTCACGGCGGGGGCAGAAAGCCGCCCTCCACGCCTGCGACGGGGAAGTCGAGGCCCAGCTCACCACTCCCCCGCAGGAGCAATAAGTCAGCGGACGGGGCCGGAGAGGGTGGGACGATGAGCCTCCGGCAGGCGGTGCTTCTCCCGCCCCCAGCTGCGGGAGACGAAGGGGCAAGCGCTGTGGCGGCTGCCGCGGTTGAGGCGACGCTGCAGCCCCCACTATCCTCGGCACTTGCCACCGCACTCAGTGCAGAGAGGCGGATGCTTCAGGAGCAACTGGATGCTCAGCGTGCCACGTATGAACAAGAACGAACAAAGCGGTTGCATGAAGAACGTGAGCGCACGCGCCAGCATGCGGAGGAGGTGGAGCGCTACATCGCCACCATCGATCACCTGCATGCGCTGCACCAGAAAAGCCTGGCCGATCTCATTCGCAACCGCCACGATATGCGGATTGAACAACAGGAGCTGCAGGGGACAATTGAGAAGCTTCGCGTCTCTCTTGATGAGGCCCTGACACTTGTGGAAAATGATCGTCGGCGACATGCTGCGGACCTCCAACTGATGCAAAGGCGTGTGGGCGACAACGCTGACACCGTCATGCGGCGGCTTCGGCAGGAGCTAGGGGAATGCCGAGCAGCTTCAATGGCGGAAAAGGAGCAACGTGCCGCCCTGCTCGCCGCGCGTGAGGCGGAGATAGAGCAGGTGCGAGGGGAGCTGAAGCGTGCAAAGAAGCGCGAGAAGCGCCTCGAGGAGCGACACCGGCTGGAGCTCGAGGGTGTTACTAGTGAAGTGAACCTCATGCGACAGGCGATACGGGCCATGGAGAAGCGGGTGTACTACTCGCAGTGCCGCAGCCTCTCAGCGTAGACGACAAGGAGAGGCCCGACGGCAAGAAGAAGACGATAACAGCAAATGTCGGAAGGAAAGAAAAAATAGATGAGGATTATACTTTGTGTGTGTGTGTGTGTGGAAGTCGGAGGTTGCGCGTCTATCCGTTTGGATGGAGGGAGTTGTGTTTCACCCGTCCGAGGTTTCTTCTTGGGCCTTTTCATGTCACTGTACTTCTTTGTCACTGCTGTGTCTTGTTGTTTTTCCTCCTCTCGCTCCCTACATCTTCCTCCTCACTCGTCTACCACACTGTGTCGCGTGTGAGAGACGAGCGAGGAGGAAGTTGACTGCCGCACCGAGGCCACACGCATTCTCCTTTTCTGCATCCCACACTGAACGGCTCTTGCTTTTGTCCCTTCTCTCTCTCTTCTTATTTTTACGCTCTTTTTTTTATCCCAAAATAATTGCATGTGAAAGCCAAGGAGGGCGGCGAGTGCATTCGCGCGCATACAAAGAGGAGGGAAGGGGAAGGTCGGTGCAGCAGCCTCCGCCTTGACTCTCCTCCGTGGCTCTGTATACATATATATTCACACGAGCGACGGCCTCGCCACTAGTGCTGCCTCCAGCAGCGGCAGGAAAGTTCTTTTGAGAGCAGTTTTTGGGTTATTCTTTCTGAACCATTCAGCGGGTGGCCTCCACCAGCAGCGGCCCATTCTCGTCGTCGTCGTCGTTCGCGGGCCCACGCCGATCAGAGCAGCGGGGGAGGAAAAGCAAAGGCGCAATAGAGGCACGTGCCGCGTCGGGCAGTGCGCTGTGTGGAGGAGCAGAGGCAGAGCAACAGGGGGGGTGGTCCGCCATTTTAGGCGCGGGGGGGGGACACGTGGGAGCCGGGCGAAGAGAGCGGCTGCGGCGACGAAAAGAAAAGGACAAGAAGGCAAAAAAAAAAAACGAAGGAAAAAAATAAACAGAGAAGGCAAACGGAGTGAAGCCGGAGGAAACCCAGCGGTGACATCTGGACTCGGCAGAAGAATCGGAAGGAGGGACCCCGCCAGGCGTCCGCAGGGACACCACTGAAGGTAGACGGAGGCGGAAGTGGATTCAAGGACAAGCGAAATAGCCCTCACTCCATAAACAAAACGAGAGGGTTAAAAAAGTAATACTAACCACCTCATATATATATATATATATATATAGGGGACAAATGTCTACAAAGGCCTCAAGGCGATGCAATCGACTGATTGTTCTCTTTAGCTCCATCAATGATGTGACGGCGTGGCCGTTCTGGAAGTTTCTGCAAATGAAGAAGGTGAAGGGTGTCACAGACCTCTCTATCCTCGCCTTCAACAGCCAGGGCGGCAGCTTCGAGGCCCGCATCGACGGGCACGAGTATACGTTGAAGAACTACGAAAATGTTGTGGGGTACTCTCAGGACATGCTGGAACGCTTTCTGCACCGTTGGTATGACCCTGGCCGTAGTTATTTCGTCTACGGCGGCCACGGCATGGGGGACTACTTGGAGCTTGAGGAAGACAAGGTGGGAGTGCAGTGTCACGAACTAGCAGCCATATTTGGAAACAAGAAGTTTGAGGCGATTACCTTCGACGCGTGCTTCATGGCAAGCCTGGACTGCGCCTACCACCTGCGGAATAACACGAGATACATTGGCGCCTGTGAGGGCTACCTCTGGGAGCCCGACACAAGCCTCGACCATCATGTCTTCAATACGTACACCGCCTCCGCGATGAGCCGCTTTCGTGACCCAAAGCACATTCTTCTCTCTGTGCAGCGTGACTACTGCAGCAAGTCCCCGCTTGCTGACTTCGCCGTGCTGGACACCACGCATGTTGAGGCGTTGCGGAAGTATGTGGAGGAGCACGTGATACAGCGTGTCTACGACCGTGCCACCTTTTATAATCTGCAGCAGCAGCAGAAACTAAGTTGCATGGCCGAGGAGGCTTTACAAATTACGCGCCATAATTCTACTAGTGACATCAAGACACCCGCTTCTTTCTCTTCCAATTCGACATCGGCATCCTCTGCCACGGTGACGTCGCGGGCGAGGGTGACGAAGTTGCAAAACCGCAAACTTGCACGACGTTCGCAGCTGCGGCACGCCGTTCAATTCGAGCACGCCTTGTACCCATCCGAGTCAGACGACAAGTACATACTTGACCTTCGCTCCTACCTGATCGATATGGCGCGTGAGGAGGAGGAGTCCGCCCTCAATTCTCCGCCGCCACGCACCACTGTTGTGGAGGCGCACGGGAGTTTGCCAAACGGGAAAAACATCTCCACCCCCGGTTTGCCAAGGGCAGTGCACACGAGGGACTCGACTTGTTTCACCGCGTCGTCGTCAACCACACACCGCCGGAGGACAAGCACATCTACGCCTCACACCTCGGAGGCCTTTCTATCCCCGTTTACGAGTTTAGTTCCATGTCGAAGCCGCTGCTGCCGTGGAATGGGGTAAACCGGCAGGTATTCAGGCAGAAGGCAAACGAGTTCTTGCGTCGCGGTGTGGTGCAGGACGTCCAGATGAATCAGCGCCTGCGCAGCGCCCCACGCGAAGCGGAGTTCCGCGGCTCTTCACAATTGGCTTCCGCATCAACGCTCTCTCCAGCTCCAACCGTGTACCTTCCGCTCTCCGGGTATGCCAGTAAAAAAAAAGTAACAACACTCTAAACACGCCCAGCATCGGAGGCTCACCGGGGCCGCAGCACTGTCAGGCGAGACCGTGATTTTTCCCTCATTCTTACGTCTCCATGACGCAATCTGCTTCGAGCGAACCGATAACAACATGAAGCCAAAAGATGGCGACGACGAAGAGTGGGTTTTCTTGTCTGTAAGCAAAATCAAGGGACAAGGGGGCCGATACAACTTTGTGTTGTCGGAGGCAGTTCTGCACTCTCCCCACGTAGAAACTCTTTTTCTTATTACTATTATTATTATTATTTTTTTTTGTATCATGGAGATGGCATCGGAAGAGTGATGGATTTTTTTTCCTTTTTTCCTGCTTGACAGGAACGTGCTGACGCTTCCAGTGTAGTTGGGGATGTGAAACACATGGGAGGTTCTTGGTTGTGTTCATTCTTTGCGTGTGTGTGCGTGTGGGCCTTACTTCCTGCAGTCCGTCTTCTCACGTAACGCGAATTCTAGCGGGAGTGCCCATATGCGTTGTTTCCCTTGGGAAGAGGGTGAGGAGAGGAACTGCTCTTCCGACAAGTCGCTTGCCGAACTCACGCGGTACAAAGCAGAGTGAGGAGGCGGAACGCGCCGGTAATTTTCGTTTTTATTCCGCTGCTTCATTTTTGGGCTTTGTCGTTGAATCGTATCCAGAATTTAGACACACACACACACACACACATACACTCGGCTTGTCTTTTGTTGTTGTTCTTCATTCTCGTACCTCGGCTTCTTCTACTAACTAAGGCCCTTTTTTTGTTTTTGTATAGGTGCGTGTGCCAGGCGAAATGAGCTCCATGAGCCAACTGGCGGCCCCCCCCCAGGTCATGCTTTTTGTACATTTCTCTTTTACGCCATCATGACACGCTCCCTCTGTACCTTTTCCCCCTTCTTGATCACATCACGAAATCTGGCCGGGGGCCACCGCTGCAGTGTACCACTTGATATATATCTTTTGTTGTTGTTTCTTTGTATATTGTACTGAGGTTTGAGCAACGATGCGCGGGTTGGGTGGGCGCCGAGCGGTATTAGCTGGCAGCACAGCTGGTGGTGGCGCTGTGGCTCGCCGTTTCTCAACTCTTCTCCCCTTGTCTCTTTTGACGCCTCACCGCTGCCGTCCCCTCCTCCTCCGCGTCGTTGGTCCCCGAGCGTCGAGCGGCCCCACACCGCGGGGAGGAACAGGGGAAGGAAGACGTCAAGGAGGGGGCGCTGGGCTTCTCCCCGCCGAAACCCGCGGTGGCGCCGAGCAACGGGAGAAAGAAAAATTTGGGAGGAAAAAACAGCACAGGACGGGTGGCATGCGACGTGTACGCGCGACGCACACCTGCGTCTTTTCCCTTCTCCGTGTTCTTCTTCTTTTCGTCTTGCAGTTCTCACTCACAGCGGCGGTAGGAAGGGGGCAGACGATGTCGACGTGGAACAATCTGGCTTTTGCCGGTTACGACGTTGAAAAGGCAGATATTCTTCTTAAGGATTCGTTGGGCGCGACATATCGTCTGCAGCCTACATGGACGAAGATTGAAAGGAGGACTGAAATCATACAGAGTAGGGATGACGATGCTGCTGCGGTGGAGGAGTTTACCGAGTCTGAGTGCAGTGCTAGCTACGTGAGCAGTGCCAGCACCTGCACAAGCGATGAGAGCGGAGACTGTGTCTCCCCTGAGGACGGCATTCCAAAGGAGAACGTCAAAGCAGGGGCGACGCGGGGTGACTGCAGTGCGTCATGTGTCAATGACCGAGGCGGTGCTGTGCCACCCGTGCACGGCACCCTGCTCACGTTGAAGAACGTTTACACGGGAGAGAAGGAAACCTTGCCGGTTGTTTCCCTGTGTACTGAACTCACTGCTGAGGAGGTGGACAGCCTTTACACCGTGATTGTTTTAGGGTACCGCGAGGACGGCGATGTGCTATTGCTACCCATGCCGAGGTTGGTTTTAGAAGAGGGCAGGCGCATGTACCGCTGCCTGCCCGCTCTACAGCTTCCCTTGGAGAAGCTTTACGAGTACTATGATTTCAATAACACGACTGACTATGACGCAAACAGAGAAACGGCGTTCTTCAAACTACCGCTTGGCGAGGATGCCATGACTGCCCCTCACTTGGAGCGGGCCCCGCTGAGCCAGGTTTACAATGTATCTACAGACAGGGTCTATTACTTGTCCGCGTGGTCAGCTTACGTGCAGTTTGTGGGTGTGGCGTGGGGAGTGCCGTGGTTGAGGGTATTTACCGTGGAAGATGCGGGCGGTGGCACTCGCCCAGACTGCGGTGAGGAGGCTAATTCGTTTTCGTGCATGAAGCCTCTCCCCTCTTGCCATGACGAGCGTCAGTTGTGCGGGGCTTACGGGCTTTGCGAGTGGGCGCAAACGACACAGACGTCAGACGCCGTCGCTGCCCCTGTTTTGCCCATTGCCGACATGGCGGGAGAGGAGGAGAAGTGGAAAAGCTGCTGGCGGCAGATCCGCGAGGTCGGCGGCGGGGCCGTCCCTCGCCTAATTCCAACGCCGGCCCTCTTGCCCCGCCACCGCTACCTTTCACCCCCCGCAAGTGGAAACGCGCTTCTGGGCTCAACGCAACAGACAGTGACGCAATTTCACATGAAACATCGCTCGTGGCTGGCGGCAGCGATGAAAATTGCACTGCGTGCTCCGCCGGCGCTATGAATTACGACGCCACACCAAATGCCCTCGAACCGTTCGGCGTATTGCACGGCGACCGCCTCGTAGGGGCAGTCGGGACGTCCTTCGAGGGAAAGGCGGCGACGGTGCTGGGTGTTCGTGTGGGTTGCCTTCTCTTGCGGCAGGAGGGAGAGGAAAAGGAGATGCCGCTGCACGGCGTTGAGGGGAAGGACGGGCTTCTGGCTCTGTTCGGCAAGCTACCTGCCCCTCAGTTTGATGGTCAAGCAATGAAGGAGGGTCACCCACCTGAGGGTGAGAAAACGACTTCCTCACCACCTCTGGGGGGCGACGATGAGGTTGAGAATGATTCTAATGCTGGGCACAGCGATGCCGGCGCTGCTGCAGGCGAGGGCGAAGTAGCTTCTGCGGGCGCCGATGATGACAGTCGTCCGTTTCTCGCGTCGGAGGAAGCGGCGCTCGCAGCAGCGGAGGAGCAATGGGAAGGCAGTGAATCAACCAGGTCTGACGGGGAGACTGCACCGCAGTCATTATTTTTCACCTCTTTTTTGAAGGCAGTGGCGTACTGGAAAATGCGGCTGCTCTCTGAGGAGGAGCAGCGGCAAAAGCCTCTTGCGTTTGTGGAATACTACAGCACAGATGCGCAGCGACGCATGCTAGAGGCTGTCGACCTCCTGCAAAGACACAAGGGCCTTTTTGACGGTAATGCTGCCGGCCGCGGTGTCGATGCGCAGTTGCGCTCCGCCGCCTCTCAGCAGGCGGAGGAGGAGCGGCCTGCGCGTGTGCACCGCATCGTTCAGCTGCTGGTTGAAAGCGAAATTAGCGAAGTCCGCTGAGCTTTGCGACCATTGGCGGGAAATTGCTGCTCCGCCTCGTCGTGGGCGGACACTTTGGCGGATACGACACGCCGTGCTGGAGACGTGGAACGAGATGAGCGGGTGGGGAAGAGCGAACAATTCCCAGAAGTGTTGGGGACTTGCCTACCTCGGGGGTGAGCCCGTAATGAAATGTTTCTGCCGGTTTTTTTTTTTCTGCATCTGTCTTCGTGGGGGGTGGGGAGTTGAGGGAGGAGGTGGTGCAGCGCAACGGCCTCCGCCGCGCCGCGCAGCCGAGTGAAGGCAGGCAAGACATAGAAGGGGAGAGGGAGAACGAGGGAGGAAGAAGACAAAAAAAAAAGGCAGCAACGAGGCGCGATGTCCGTAGCTAAGGCAGAGCCGCAGCGGGTATTGCCGCCCCACCCGGCACCAAACATGCTTGACCTCTGCATGACGCGGTATGACTACGACTACAATCGCGACATTGAGGGAAGGGGCCCCGGCGACGGCACGGCTGGCGGTGACGACGGCTGCGCAGTGAGCGGGGATGTGCGCAACCGACCCATCTTTCGCTTTGCCAACTCACTGGAGAGCTGCCACGACACAACCTACCTCACAGACTACGTGCGCCACAGCAGGGAGGTGAAGGACATGCCTGGGCTGTTGCAGACAGCCTGCGGAGAGCACGACGTGGCCTCCGCCTTCGCAAGGGATTACTATCTCCCGGACCTCACTAAGCACGCCACGGCGACTGGCGCGCACCCAATCTCCGTCTACAAGGAGGATTACAAACACAGCGGTCCGGTGCCTAGCGGCGAGCCAACGCTTTACGCTGGAGCCCGCACCGCCGCATATGATCCTGACTTCCTTCTTATCCCCGCAACCGAGGAGGATCTCAAGGCCGAGAACATGCTGCCGCCAAAGATCACATCTAGGGAGTCCCTCCTGCCGAAGGTGCCCCCGTCCGAGGACAGCTACCGTAGACCAAATGAAGATTTGTTCGCCTCCCGCAGGCCACAGCTGACGACGATGGGTAAACCCCCGACCGACTACTACTGCACCTCGTGGGTGTACGGCGACAAGAGCCTGGCCTACCCGGGTCAGCTGCCGCGCGGTATTGAGGACTCCCCGAATGCGCACCTTATAGGCACGATGGACGACAAGGCGGCCCTGCTCGCTCTCCTTGCGGGGAAGAAGAAGGCAGCTGGCAAACCCTACCTGATGCCCGACGAGACGAACCCCATCCCAATTCAGCGGATAGAGCAGCCCTTCTGCGGAATAACACGACGGATTGAAAATGAAGGGTACGTCAACATGAGCATTTACCGCAGTGACCACGTTCATCAAGGAGTGTTGCCAGAGCTGCCGGACGCGGCGGCTTTGACGGGAAACGATACGGGGGGTGCCGGTGGGGAACGGCGACTGGCGTGCGCGGGGGAGATGCTGGCGGGTACCCTGACGCGCCATACAAAAAAGATTGAGTCGCTGCGCAATTCACACGGCAACCTTTTGAAGGTAAAACCCGATTCACGAATTGTAGACCTTCACACATGGAAGCAAATGAGGTCAATTGAGAAGCGCATTGCAGTGGACAAAAAGGACCCTCATCGTCACAAATTGCATTAGAAAGCCCAAGCGCTAACATTTGTTTAGCCCAGGAAGAGTATAAAGGAGAAAAGCCACCAGTAACGGCAGCACAGACGAAACAAAAAGATAAACAAAAAGAGAGCAAACAATGTAAGATGGGAGGCGCACGCAACTGACTGCGACGGCTATCGTATCATTATTCTCTCTTTTATTGGATGCATGTGTGTATGTGTGATGTAGAGAAAGAAAACTGTCATGTACAAACTTCAAGAAGTAAATAAAAAAAAAGATA